TAAATATAAACATTATTAACTCCTTTCTTTATTTAGAACACTCCAGAGCACTTCACTTGGAACTTTACATATGCTTTCTCTAAATCAATAAATATCATATGTAGATCCTCTTTATTCTCTCTATACAACTCCATTAAACCTCGCAATAAATGTATAGCTTTCATAGTAGACCTACCCGGTATGAATCTAAATTGATTTTGAGAAACATTAATATCACATCAAAACCTATGCTAAAGACTCTCCCATAGTTTTAATGTATGACACATTAATTTAATTCATCTATAATTTGCATGCTCTTAGCATCACATTTATTCTTAAAAATAGGAATCAACACACTCCTCCACTCATCTGACACCTTTTTAGTCCTCAAAATATTATTTCTCTCAGATTAATGAATTATGCATGTCTATCTTGTTGAACTACCCTTGCATATTTTGATTTCTATATCACTAAGCACAAAATTTTGTTATCTTATTCTTATATCAAATTTACTTTACACATACTTTTAGGGTAAATATTTTTCAATATATTATAAAATTCATAATCATATTTATCATCATCGAAATGAGGAAGATTGTTAATTTCATGAGCTTTGATCCAAGTTAGATTTTGATGATAACAAAAAAAATTAAGATATTGGTCATATTATTTCATTTGAATTGTGCAAATAAACTAGTTCTACTACCAGGACAGAGTTAAGATATGAAGATTGAAGTTTAGAATTGGAATAAATTTTATTTATTCAGAAGTAAAAGCCATAAGAACAAAATATCAAAGATAGATGGGAAGTTAAATAATAGTTAAAATTACACAAAATGAAAATTCCTTCTAACATATAAAAAGTAAATTGTTTTTAAGCAAGTTATTTTTAAACTACTACATTAAATGTTTAGAGAAGTAAATTTAATTAATTTTTCCAAGATAGGTGAAAAGTATTTTTAAATTTAAAAAGATATAAAAATTAACTATGTTTATGGACATTCATACAAGTTTATGGGTCTCCGCAAATAAATAACAGCTCGCCACAAAATCTCAAGCTTGCTTTGTTAAAACCAAGGACTTTTGATTTAAAACCTTAACCATTACCGACCCTCTGCAAAGGTTTTCAGGTCTCCATTGGCCAATAATGAATCACTGCAAATCAATGCACCCACTCTGCTATGACCTGATAATTCGGCCAAAAAACCTTAGCCATATCAAACCTCTGCAAAGGTTATGGGTCTCCACAAACCCCTTTATAGGCCTTCGTAAATGATAAAAAAAAAAATTATAAAAATTGTAAGCTAAACATATACAACCCAATAGGAGAATTAAAAGCTAACATAAATCACTTTCTTTGGCTGATTGAAATTGGGATTTAAGCATTATTCCAAAATAATAATATATTGGACACCCTAGTTTGTATTAGAAAAGTGCTAGTGCAAGCTTTCCCAAACCCTAGCTACCAAAGCTTCTACACATTGCTAAATAAATTCAGCAAAAACCTGATGTTCTTATATCCATATGTGAGAGACAAGGTTAAAAAGAAATTACAAGCTCGCAAGATCATTCAAAGCTGTCTTTAGCAATTGGTTCATCATGCTTGGATTCTTCACGCATTCGTAGATTCGTATTTAAGATCATTCATAATTGTATTTTGTTTTGTTGTGCTGATTTTTCTTTGTTTTGCTAACTTTTTATGCAAAAAACTTAGAGGCCGTACCCTTGCCCATGACTAAGGAGAAGTCCCTTAATTTGTTTCTTTTTCTCTAATTGGTTTTTTTTTTTTATTGGCTCATTTATTTTATTTAACTTCTCAAATAGCTAGATCTAAATATTTTTTTAAATAAATATTTTAACCAAAAAAACTTCTTTATTTGATTTGAAAGAATTGAAAATTTTGTTTGAGACCCAATTCAACTGCCTCCCCACCCCCCACCCCAAACCGTCTGGATGCTTGTTCAAACTTTTAGTATAAGGAGACATTTCAATATTTTGAAACACTATGTTGATTTACAGATAAGAAGCTGGCTATAGTATGACATTGCATATGGATTGATGCATGAACATGAAGTCGCTAAAACTTGATTTAAGAAAATGAAGAAAGGAAAGCAAAAGGGAAAGGAAAGAGTGTAAAATACAAGGCCATATAAGAGTATAAATAAAATATAAGATGATAAAAAGGAGGTCCAAAGAGTTTTAATTTTTTGGGGCTGCACTAAAAGCTTTTAGTTAAAATGTTGCAATACCACAGAAAGATGACTTGCAATTATCTGATTAACTACCTATCAATAAAAAAGTGTTTATCTTTAGCAAGCTATCTATGATAGAAACTTACCAGACAACATTTTTTTTTGGGAGATATTCACATATCTTAAACTTGATTGGCATATATTCTAAAACTTAAGGCAAATTTGTTTTGAAGTAAGTGTTTGGAAGTGATTTCAATGGAGTGATGTCTACTTGCTTTGCATAAACGTGCTTCTTGGAAACACGATTCCTAGTTTAGGTTGTTGTGAGTTCCAAATAACTCAAACCGCTTACTTATCATAAGAAAAAACTAATAATTGCATATCCTAATTATTCAAGCTAAATAAATATCATATCTAGCAATTTGGAGATGAATTTCTAAGATTAATTAATTTACGAATAATGAGAATAGTGTACCATCTTACTACTCCATTAGTTCAATTAACTATCAATCTATTATCTAATAATTCTAAGCCTAATTATATTAATTTGTTATCCCACTCATTAATTAAAGAATGACAAGCTTAATTAATAAAAATGTTTTAACATCATACATGTTTATTGAAAAATACTTAATTAGAATAGTTAATGTTTCATTAATATATAGCAATTGTTTAAAATTATGCAATAAGAGATGCGCCTTAAGAAAAACCTCAGTGCAAGGTGTATGACTCACTAGGACCTAATGACGTGTAAACTTCAGTGTGGTTGAGGAGTACCTCTAAGCAATTTGTAAGAGGCACGAGCCTCAAAAACTAGGGTTAGGTAATATAAATTTTTTAATTTATAAATTTAATATAAAAATATATATTATTTTGCTATTTCTCTACACATAATAAAACCTAGAACCACATGCACCTCCTCTACTCATAATCGTACATCGCATTCTCATCTGATTCGCACACCACCGTTGATGGAAGAGGAAGATGGTTAAGATCAAAGTTAAGGAAAAAAATTGGGAGGATGTTGACAAAACTGAGGATGATGGAAGAGAAAGCGATTCACTATGATGTGATTCTCATGAAGACTTGCTAAGTAATGAAGAGTGGGGGAGGCATTTGTATTCAAAAATCATAATCTTAATGACTAAGACTACTTGTTTATTTTGAATTTAAAGTGGCAAAAAATTATTTCTTATAATCTTACTTTGACTCATAATGATTTTAGTAAATTTTACTTTAATATTAGTATGTTCATTCTTTTTTTTAATTAATTAATAATTTAATTAGAGGCTTACGTCTCACTTCACGAAAAGAAAATGTCTCAATCCTCAAATGCATAATTTCCAACCTTATACATAATTAATTAGAATAATTTATTATTCTAACAATTAATCCGTCAATAAGTAGCCTATTACCCATTGACCGTCCAAATTAATATATTCATTTAAACTACAATTACTTGGGATACTGCATAATCCTAACTATTCTTTAAATTTGTCTATTCCTAGCAACCTTAGCTCATTAGATTATATAATACTCAATTGATTATTTAGCCTAACTAATAGAAGGATTCTTGACATATTAGCCTAAATAATTTTACTTAAATCAATCTATGGCACTAGAACGATATATTGTCAAAATCATTCTACCAATCTCTAATTTGCATAAATAATCCCAACACGACTAGTGCTAAATTATGTTGTGCTATTGCATTATTATTATCATGTTCAAAAGTAAAATTGAAGGTGACTTCCAAGCCCTCACAATTGCAACTCTCTCAATTCACAACTTAGAGATGTTGATTTCCATAAACAAAAACCCACTTCCAAAAACTTTATATCAAACAAACACTTGACATTTACAATAAGCAGGTCTTCATGGTGGTAACATCTCTAATACATTTGTCTCAGTTAGGAGAAGTTTTACATTAAGTTTCATGACCAAACATTTCGTATTGCATGATCTATTTAGAACATAAAATTCTTCTGCTGAACATTAACATGCAATTTTTATTGCAGACTAAGAATATTATGATATGGATTAAAGTTAACTAAAATTCTTAGGAGTTCTTAAAAGATAACAGACACTGCACCAAATTGTGGCTTTTAAAATAATTAAGATAGGTCCATCGTCTCTCTATAATGAAAAGGTGTCTAACAGCTTATCTTTGGCTGCCCCATAAGTTTTAAATACATCCTAAAAGAGCATAATTAACCGCTTTTTTCTGATAATCCGTGTTTATATGTACCCAATCTGTCGGATATTAACCCTTAAAACGAAATGAGTGCCAAAGCACCTCAAAAATAAGCATTCATCTCTCAATACTTATTCCCACGAAATAAGCCATAAGAATCAGCAATAATAACCATTAGAATAAATCTAGAGGCTCAGAGCAAATAATGCACGAATCTCAAATTGCCCATTCTATCATTCGCAATTCCAAATCGCTATTATAATCTGATCTTGGCAAACCATCCCAGCTATTTTAACAAAGTATGCTAGAATATATAAAATTTCACTTTGGCAAAAATTGTTAGAGAAGACAATAAAGCATATCATCCATCTACATTCCCGTGAAAATTAACATCTTCCCAATATTGAGTGGACTTCAGATGAACTAGACAGTTGCTACTCAAATCAACAGACAAAGCACTCCCAAGTTCTTACTGCTATATTGGACTACAATTTTCCACAAGGAAAAAACAGCTGAAAAACCAAATTCAGTTTCCTGTTCCAACATTTTGACCAAATCAAATCATCACGTAATACATATAAGCATTCCACAAAAAGTTTATCAATTAATTTAAAAAAAAAAAAAACTAATCTTACCCTTGCAGGAGGCATGACATTCTCAAAAAGCAATGCATCAGGCTTATCCGCCATCACAGGAGATTTCGTCCAGAGACAACTCAGCCCGCATCGACAGGAATAGAGATTATCCAAGTTATCAGGGATCCAAGTCCAACCCTTTACCAGTACACTAACATGCGCCGGGCCCAGCCCCTCGCAATCCACACTTCCGCTGTAATCCTGCACCGCTGAGGCGTTCGGCGCCCCTCCATTGCGCTCCCTGAACCGTTCGCATCCGATCTCCTCGTCCCACCTCGCAAAAGCAGCCTTTAAGTCGGAGAATGCCTCTTTAGGCCTCGAATTAAGAGAGGGAGACAAGGAGGATGGAGAGGAGGGGGTCGACAATATCGAAGAGGATGAAGGGATCTCTGTTGGAAGGGGAGAAGAGAGAGATGGGAATTCGAGGAATCGGGATAAAAGGAGTAGTGCGACGGCGAAGGCGATCATTGGTGCAAGGAAGTTGACGGGCTTTGATGGAATCATCGGCAGAGTAGTAAGGGGAAAGAGAGATGAGAGAGTTCACATTTTCTAGCGGGATTTCGCCGACGCAGAAAGAGGTGCTCGTATCAGGCGAAGCGAAACGTAGTTGCGGGCAACAGAGTCAAGCCGCCGCTGATATTATTATTATTATTATTTCGAAAAATTGAGTTTAAAACACATACTTATTAAGGGATTTATAAAAGTAGTATCTAACATATTATGACTTGTATATTTAATCCTTAAATTTTAATATTTATATCATCTAACACTTGTTTAATAGATCTCAAACACAATTTAAATCATCGGCTCTTGTATGGAGTAATTATTATGTCAGGTTACCGAATGCATTCAGAAACCAATAATAAAACGCCACGTCACTAAAGTGCTCGGTATCGTGCTCGGTATAGTGCGCTCGGTACACTCGGTATGCTCGGTATTGCTCGGTATTTTCACCGGATGTAATGATTTTTCCCTTGTATGTGAGTTTGCTCGATACACCACATGAATCTATATATAAAGTCAAATATCTCAAAATCCAGTGATGAGAATAATTTAATTTTAATTCTAATAAATGTATATGAAAATACCTTTCAAATGATTCCAAAAACATAAAATTTGGTGAAAATATATTTTCTATACATTTTTGAACTTTTGGCTATTTAAAATGAATTTCAAAATAATTTTTAATATTTAGAACATTAGTGTAATCACATGATTGTGCCGCCACCGCCTTCATTTGATGAGTGTCGAGACACGCATCACGCATCTGTGCTGCCACTTAAACATGTGGCAGATATTTCGGGTCATCAGATTAATGGTGAGATGATGGACGGCTAAATTTTGCCACGTGTCCCCATCGAGATCAAAATGGTGCATGTTCATGCCCCACGGTCGTCTGCATTTTTGTTTACTAGTGATGTGGCCGAATCTAGGTCGTCCGATCACGCCTTCTATGCGATCAGATAGCTCTGATAGAACTAGAGGATTTTAGTTCATAATGGACTAAAATTTCAAATTGACATAACTTCAAAAATACTGAATCAAATCAAGTGAAATTTGAAACATATGTTAATGATAATCAGATCTTTCAATACTTGGAGTTTGGAGGCTCCATGCATGATAGATTTCCTATAATGTCAAATTGATATTTAAACTAAAAGTTAAGATATTTTACAATCCAATGGGTAGATTTTTTATTTCTTAGGCTTGTTGGAAATTTGGAGAGTCCTCTATAATTTTGCTGAGAACCTTAAAATTTTTTATGGTTGGATTGAAAAATGTTAAAGAAAAGTTAGTTTCTCTCACTATCTCTCTCTCTTCACTAAAATAGGATTTTGGAGCTTGGAAATGGTAGGGGAAAGCTTGGGAAGGCTTGGGAGAGGGTTGGAGAAGATAATAGAGAGTCTTGGAGGGCTAGAGGTTGGTGAGGCTGAGGTTTTTAGAAATGGGAATGCATGATAGGCTTTGGGAAGGGATGTGAATACTTATCCCTTATCCCTTTGAGTTGGGTGGCTATGATTGATTGGGGGGACTTAGATTGATGCCAAGTGTCTTCTGAAGCAATTTGAAGTCATAGAGAGGATAGGTAGTGAGTGGAATGTCTTATATAATATAGTTTAACCATTTAAAACCTTCATAAAGACTTTTGCTAACTGGGTTAACCAGTCAACATGATTACTGATGTAGAGGTCTTGAGCTAGTTGGATGAATTATATAAGGTTTGGAAGTTAAAGATTGGAGTTTAAATGTATGAAATAGGTTTTAAAATGGTTTAACCAAGTCTTGGTAGGTTTACTTGGTCAACTTGACTTAGATTTGATAGACCACGGACTAAAACATGTTGATCTTATGAATTGAGGTTTAATTGAGGATTTAATATATTCAATTTGGTTAAATGGGTTAGATTGATCCATTTAAACCCTTAAAGGCTATTGGGCCAACCTAGGTTGACCCAAGGACTGAGTGTAGTCTAAATAGATTTGAAATGGTAAATGTAGTATGGTAAAGGTGGTCACAAGGGTTATAATGGTCATTAGGGACAAATTGACCATTTGGATCCTTAAGGGGCCATTTGGTTAACCTAGATTGACTTGGTCAATCAAGCTGACCCAGCGCTTGGGTTTTGGCTCAACAAGTTTGGTTTGATTAATGAAAGCCAATGGAGGTTGTTTCATGGGTCAAGATGGTTATTTAGGTCAGATTGACCATTTGGACCCTTAAGGGGCCATTTAGTCAACAGGTTAACCCAGGGCTTAGGTTTAAGCTCAACAAAATTAAAAAATATATATATTTTTTGAGTTGAATGAAAGTGGTTCCATATAATGAGGCCATTTGGATTAAAATGGTTATTCAAACCCCTAAGAGGTATTTTGGTCAAAATAGGTTGACTTGGTCAACCAAACTTGACCAGGATATGGGTTTTAGTCCTATGCACTCCTAATGATGTTTAGGATGTATTGGAAGATGTTTCAAAAGTTTGATTTAACTGGGTCTTGTTGAAGTTTGGATGAAACTTCAAATTTGCCCTTAAGGGGTATTTTGGTCATTTTGACCTATGGTCAAATAGGGGTCCAAGTAGGCTACCAAAAATTTAATTTAATATTTAACATGTCATAATCAAGGGTTTAGATATGATCAAATGTCTTAGGGAAGGTCCTATGGTCAAAATTCACAAGGTAGAGGGTCTAGTGGCATAGACTATAAATATTTGAAGGTTTTGCAACCTTTGAAAATATATTAGTTTATGGAGCTAGAGACCTTAAAATGAGCTCAAATTTAGAGGGTTGTCCCTAAAGACATGCCCCATTAATATGAAATTGATAAATCATGAATTAAAGGTAATTAAACTTGGTTTTAAGTGGACTAAAAAATCACTTATAAAGGGTTTCAAGACCTGGGCCCATAGCTCTGGATTTTGACCTAAAATTCTTGATTTGGATGAAATTCTTTGTTTGATTGGTTGATTTTGAGTTATACACATAATTAACCATTAAATAGGTGATTGTTAATGATTTTATTAGAGTTTGATTGAAAGTGGATTTAAGGTCTGGAGTTAAAGATTGGACTAGAGGCTGAACTGGGATTTGATCAAGAATCTAGACTGGAGTTTTAGTGGGACCTACATGATTGACCAGAGGACACCTATTAATCCTCAGGTCACTAAGAAGGAACCCATGTGGGTTCTAGTGACCTTATATAGAAATGAGGTCAACAATGCTCAGGTTACCTCAGTTAGAAGTGAGGTCAACAAAGAAGATGGAGATACAAACCATACTAAAAAAACAACCATGAAATCTTTCCAACTGAATAGAGAATTCAACCTCCCTTAAAACTTCTTCCTCCACTGACCCAACTACAAGCATGACACCATATACAGGAGACTTTCTATATGCATGAGAAGGTCTATAAGTATTCTGAAGTGGGTCTTGTAACCCTTTGTGCATGTTTGTGAAATCAATAATTTTTTTTCCTAGGGAACCATAGTGCATGGGTAGGCATCATTGTGGAAATGAGATCTCTAAAATTTGATAAATTTATTTATCCTATGGCATTGGGGGTGGCGCTGTGGGTTCCTAGAGGGAGCACTACGATGCTTGAGATTGGGCATCGTGATGCTCAATCAAATTTAATCTTAAAAATATATATTTTTAACAATTTAAATTCATTTCACCCAATAACAACCAACTAGAGAGAGATAGGAGTATTTCTATAGAGAGAAAACTAATTTTGAGCCTCTTCAAGTCATTTTCTACTAACGACCCAGTTATGAAAGTTGCCTCTCTTAATTTTTAATAATTTGACAATTTTAGGATTTTCTTGATTTAAAATATAAACTTTTAGAGTTCAAATTGGGATGAATTTTAAACAGTGGACTTTTCATCATGGAACTTATGGTATGTTATATAGAAAATAATCTGGATATTTAAATATTTTCTATAATATTCTTATATGGTATTTTTGAAACACCAATTTTCTAAAACTATTAAAAAAATCCATACACTTAAAAATAATACTATAGAATAATTAAACCCCTGAAATATAGCTATGCACAATCTCTAGTAATTTGATAGAATTCTGAATTAGCATATTTTAACTACATTGTTATAATTCTGACTGTTAGAATGCTGTCCGTAGAAAAAAATCTCTAAAGTTCTATAAATAGTTCAATTTATATTTAATTATGCTTTTGTGCATCTCTATATGAATATGAGAAGTTCGGGGGGAGTTTTATCTGGAGTTATGTCATATATTTGCAAACTTTAGTTGCAAAAATTTTGAATGTGTTAAGAGCACTAGAAGGCTTGATGGCCAAGAGTTCTGAATGAGAGGCATAAGGTATGGAGTCCTAAATGGGAGATATAAGGGTTGGAGTTCTGTTAGTTTTTTATTTACAATATGTTATTACTTATATTCTATTTAGTATACTTTATATTCTATTTAGCATACTACGAGCTTAATTCTATAATCTGCTTAATTATCTTCAAATCTTATATTATTCGAACACCACTCTATTGTAAGTCTATTATTAAGATTAGAATAATTAATTTATTTAAAGTTATTGATTTTGTGATTATTAAGAAATAATTTAAGTAATATAATATGCTAAGCTATGATAGCTCATTATATATTATGCGTATCATTTTCAGGCTAGGACAGGGGAAAAGTGTCGATTGAGTAACTGAGGCTAATTTTTTGAGTTATTGATGAGTGTAAATATATTATATTTTATATGTTAAATTACTAGTGAAACTGTATTTTTTTAGTTGTATTGTGTAGGAAAAATATATAGGAAAGGCATAAAATTTTAAGTATTATACAGCGCTGCAGCGTTGAACACTATTTCATCATGGTGCCATCATTGACATCGCCAGAGTGCCCAATATGGATATGGTGGCACCTAGTCTCTGCTTGACAACACCACGGCGTCGAAGGAGTCAGTACTACAAAGCCCAATATCTATTTGTACAACACCACAGTGCTAATTTCCACCATAGCCAAGCTAAGGAGAGTACAATATAGATGTCACAGCACTCAACTGCGCCGCAGTGTAATAATTGTAACTAACCAGGATATAATTTGCTAGTGAAGCAATGTGTCGATTCATTATGTCCACATTAGCAAGTGTCATAGAGGAGGAA